TGAGTCGCTGGGATTACAGGCATGTACCACCATGCCCAGCTGATTTTTTGTATTTTTAGTAGAGACAGGGTTTCACCATGTTGACCAGGATGGTCTCCATCTCTTGACCTCGTGATCCACCCGCCTCGGCCTCCCACAGTCATGGGATTACAGGCTTGAGCCACCGCGCCCGGCTTTTTTTTTTTTTTAAGCGTGTATCTTGAATCATATGAGCTAGACTTTTAAATCTTCTGAGTCTTACCTTCCTCATTTGTAAATTGGTGATACTCAATGGTATCTTCATCCAAGGTTTATTGTGAGGATTAAATGAGAATATATATATATATGTGTAAAACGTCATTTGAATATATGTATATGTTAGCGTTATGTATATTAGAGAGAATACATGTGTGCATGTGCATGCGTGTCTATACATATTAGATATGGTAACACCTATATTGAGCACATAGTAAGCCCAGTGTAATGTTGGCTGTCATTAGCATTGTTGTTATTGTTCTTTTTAAGTAGTCTTGGGTGAATTCTAGGCAATGGTATTTTGTAAAAAGACCCCAAGTGATTCATGAAGCCAGGGTAGAATCACAGTATTGTGAGGTTTAAAAAAAATAATGTTCACAAAGCAGGAGAATAAGATGACTATATCTGTGTTTTTTTTTTTTAAAGCCAGTCTGGAGATTGACTCTCTGCTCCTTCATTCACTAATAGTGTGACCTTCTGCAAGTGAATTAGCCTCTCTAAGCCTCAGTTTCTCCATTAGAAATAAGTCTAATAATAGTGCACAGCTCATAGAGTGACTGTGAGGATTATCAATTCCTCACAATGCCTGACAGAGTCAGTGCTCCGTAAGTGGTAGCTGCAATGTGTTGAAAACTGCAGCACAGGCCAGAGTCCAGAGAAGAGTCCAAATGACACTTCTCTCTGTACCTAAATTTTTCTCTCCATATAACTAGTTTGTTCTGCCTTTTCACCTTTTCTTTATTTAAAACAGAAATGTAAGCACTAGGAATTTGAGAAAAATATATTCCACACAAACACCTAAAATGGAAAGGTATCTGTGCTGGGTGTGATTAACAGCTGGGTGAACTTAACGCTCCAGTAGTTAATAGTAGAACATTTTAATTTAAATACTATTTTAAAGGGAGAAGCTTCCAATTGGATAGCAAATAAATAAAGGCCATCTGAACAGCTCAGTGCCCAAGTCCAGATGGATTTTCTGTTATCTTATTTGTACTTCCTGCCTTATCAAATGTTTCATCCCTCTTCCTGTTTCACAGCTTTAAGTCATTTTTTGTTGTTATCTACACACTATGAATCCTGGGCATTTCATTTGAGATGTGCTTTAAAAAGAAAGTATTTTGTTCTCCCAGTGTCCTAATTCATCATTCAGAAAGACAACAGACAAGATAGTCTTTAAGACACAGATGTTAAGGAATAAATTCTTAAACCATAAACAAGTTGCAAGATAAAACATTTTCGACAGATGAGTTTTAAAAAGTATTTTTTAAATCTTTCATACTCCAACCCTAGAGATCTATCAGTAATAGGGAAAAATGCCATATCTCCAAGTAGGACCAACTGGAATAATCAGAGGCCATATTTTTTTTAAGGTAGTAGTTCCCAGTTGTTCCCTACTGAGATCCCCTTTTACGGTTTCCTCTTCCAAAAGGCCCTGTGTTTTGAAAAGATGAATGCACCAAACTGCATTTATCAATATTTAATTTATCTTCCCATATTTTATTAATCAAAGTTATCTAGATCTGTCAAGCAGAGCACCCAATCAGTATGAGACAATCTGGGCTACCACACTGAATTGCTGTAATTCTAGCTAAAAGCAAGAAAATATTTGAACTGAAACCGTCTTTAATCTGAAAATAGACATTGTGTTTTCTGCCCTGGCATGAAGAATGTGGATGACAATCCTGATATTCAGGACCTTTCCATTTTTGGTTCCAATCTAAGATTGGAAAAAAAAAATTGGTAG